CTATAGTGTGGTTTGGGTATTGAATAGATTAATTTACATCAAGAACAAGCGCATTTAGCAGTTTGCATTGGACGATGAGGTTTATATTAAAGAATCACAATACAGTATCTTCTCTGCGTTCTCTCCCCGTGGCGAGACGTTTGATTAAAGCAATACAGTCAAGTTTGTGGTAACCGTTTGAGGCAATTACAAAGAAAATTATAGGCATATTGGCACATCAAAACAAACCTCAGAGTATGTAGACCTTCCGGAAAGTATTGGTATAGACGAATTCCATATGAACCCTGTCCCACAGGCCACAGGTTGATTTCAAAAGGGCTACGCCTTTTATGCTTTCAAGGCATACATTACAGTATTTAATTTAGGCTTACACTAAATGAACAGCAGCAACCAACAGCTGGCCAATGTAAATGTATCGGTCCAGGATCTAGGTATACAATGAGACCTGCGTCATTTGGGAATTCTCTATATGGGAAATTCACTAGCAGTCATTTCCCGGGAAAACTACCTTTTTTAAATTCAGGGCACCTTGTGTGATCTCAGCAAGGCTTTTGATACAGTCGATCATGAACTGTTAATCAAAAAACTTGAATTTTATAAGGTTGGGCCTAGAACACTCAGTTTGATTGAGTCTTATCTGTGTGGCCGGGAGCAGGTTGTGTTTGCTAGAGGGCAGAGTTCTCGTGCCAAAACATTGTCTCATGGTGTACCGCAGGGCTCAATCCTGGGGCCTCTGCTCTTTTTAATCATGGTCAATGATCTAAGTCATAACACTGACGCAACTGTCATTAGCTACGCAGATGACACTACTCTTGTGTGTACAGGTAAAGATGAAGCCATGCTAACAGGGGATATGTCACGTTCCTTGGAACAATCAGCTATCTGGTTCCGTGCAAACTATCTCTTTTTAAATAATGCCAAAACTCAAAGTCTGATTTTTTCTCTAAGGCGGATAGGCGATAGGCCTATCAATGATTCCAATAATGTTAAATTACTTGGCTTAACCCTAGATAATAAGTTGTTATGGGATGATCAAGTTGCAGTGACATGCAGCAAATTATCAAGAGTTGTACATTTATTAAGAAATTTGAAGGTAAATGTTCCCAAACAATACTTAAAAGTAGCCTATGTTGCATTTTTTCAAAGTATAATTTTATACGGCCTAAGCCTATGGGGCAGTGCAACTGATGTTAAAGGTATCTTAACTGTTCAAAAGAAGGCAATTAGGTTAATGGCTGATGCTTCTTATGACGCACATTGCAAACCCTTATTTGTATCTGAGAAACTGATGACTGTTTACAGCTTGTATATTTTTGATATTTTAGTTAAGTTTAAGGAAAATAGTATTGGGAATGTAGTAACTAGAGCCGAGGTGCATGAGCATGACACAAGAAATAAACATCTAATAGATATACCTTATGTTAGACTTAGAAAAACTCAACTCAACTGTGATATCTTAGCAATAAATCTATTTAATGCATTGCCTTATTCAGCACGAAACCTGGAGATCCGCCAGTTTAAGCGGAAACTACAAGAGATGCTATTGGCGCATCCTTTGTATGCTTTAAAAGAATTTTTTGAAATTCCTACAGCTGTTGTAAGTAGATGCTTTTGATTGCTTTTGCTGTGCCTGAAGTTTGAAGTAGTTTGTGCATGGTGTGTTTTTTTTTTAAAGTAGACATGAGTAGTTTGTGCACTATTTATTCACTATTGTAGTTGCCATTATTTAACTATTTATTTATTTATTTATTATATTTGCCTGTTTTTGTGCATGGTGTGATTTAAGCTAAGTCAACCCAGTTTACTAACTGGGACTGTTAGCCTAACTGATTGTTGCCAGATGATTATTATATGACTTGTCTGATTGCATGTAACTGCATGTTTAAAAGACCAAATAAAATTCTCATTCTCATTCTCATTCTCATTCTCATTCTCTCATTCATTCTCATTCTCATTATTTTGTATCACAATTGTTGGTAAAATTATTGTATTCAACGTGACGCCTAGGATCGACATATTATCTAAATATCAAAGCCCTCTTTACTCTTCTAAAACCAATAGGGCCTAAGTTTTAAAGAATAGAAGAAATATCTGCTGAACACAAGGAATAAATGAATCAAAAGTAGAAAGTAATAGGTTTGACTATAGTGTTATATATTCAATGGCAATAGGTCAATTGAATAGTCGATAAAAGGATTCGATGTGACGAACACATACCTATCCCCAGCGATAAGAAATAGTTGTCACTTAAACGCCGGGGTTATACTATGTAGCAAAACCTGCTATATAGCAGATTTGTGTAACATCCAGCAATGTTATATAACATTTGCTAGAAGTAGAAAAAGTCACTTTTCAAAAGTGATATATAACACTGCTATATGTAGCAGATTCTGCTATATATAGAAAAATTGTGCTATCCATCGGGAGTCGGTAAAGATCAAAAGAAATGCGTGCTATACCTAACATTGCTATATGTAGCAATGTTATACATGTATTTTTTGTCTAGCATATACTATATGTAAGCATAGTGTCAACAGTTCACGGTTGTAGCCTCCTATGTCCGGAAGTTTCTGCTCGGCGATCTTTGTTTACAATGGAAGGACTGGAAAGCGACAGTGCGTAGGATCGGGATGCTATTATAAACTTAAATTAAACTGTTTTGTGGACAACAGTTATATTTCATTATATATTATATTTATATTTCAATTATATCAATTTGTGGTCATACGTAAAACGTTTTTGAAGCTACCATCACCTTATTTCGCGTTTTAATTATAGATCGCTTCAGCTTCTGACTTCCGATCACCGTGATAGCTGCCTCGAACAATGTCTCTTCGGCTCGACATGTTCGATACGGAATGTCGATGAGGTTGTGCTACATATAACATTTAACAGGGGCACCGGAATCACAAAATTGTCTAACTTTTTTGTATAGCAAACGTTATATAGCAATGTTATATAGAAAAAAAAAAACTATATAACAATGTTATATAGTAAAAGTTATATTGCAGGTTTTGCTACATAGTGTAAACCCGGCTTTTAGCTTACAACTAGAGGTAGCACTAACAGCAATTCTGCTATAGATCGGGACGCTGTATGCACGCCAACTGATGGAATCAGCTCATTGGATCTGGCTTTGTGTATGTTCAATAATTGTACACTCCAACAATCCCCTGGTAAAAATGTATTAAGTACAGTGTAATTCATCCCCTAGTACAAATGGTGGTCAACGTCTCACAATTAGTACTGTACTACCTCCAGTTGTATTTCTAGCTCAAAAGAAACTGATTACAAGTCAGCTGTTTACGTCCACGTATCACAAAAGTGAGGTTATGTTGCCTCAAACCACGATAAAGCTTAAACTCCGTTGTCTAGCGCTTCTCCAGTACAAGACTCAGGCCCCGTTTATAACCTGTGTTTATGTAAAGATGGTATCTATGCTGGCCAGATTGTAGACCTAGGCCTTGTCAGACTTTTAGACTTTATCTCCGCCTTTCCTTCTGAGATGAACACCTCGTTGGAACCACTAGGGTCTGAATGCACATTCACTAAAGATCTTGGAGGTATAGGTTTTTTTGTGCTATTTGTGCCATTGGCATTGTAAAGTTGTAAGGGAACGGTCCATTCCAAAGTTAGGGTATCCCAAATTATTTGACATTTAGTAGGGCCTAACCAATTTACTAAACCAGTTACGTTTGAGATGCAAGCCTAATGCTTTCATCATTTTGTGTTAATCACACAATTGGAATTTGTAAATTGTTTGTAATTGTAAGGGTACGGTCCAAAACCCTGGTCTTGTTACTCTAACGTTTACCTTTTGTAATAAAGCACCATTCAATTGATAATCCAATGACAAATTGTATCTGAGTCCAGGAAAAAATCGCTTGGAACCGAACCAGTGTAGCCACCAGGATCGCCGGTTCGATCCTGTGAAAAGTAGGTAGCTTTTGATGGTTCGAAACTCGACCCAGCTGTCTGTGATCATTGGGCTTTTAATGAATGGTCCTGGCTAATTAAACAGCTGGTCTTAGTCAGTAACTAAGCTACACATGACATCTTACCAGTCTACATGCATATTTGGGTTAAAATACGCACATTGGTTAAGTTCCCATATCAATTGGTAGTAATAATAAATGGATGTTATTTGAAGCATTGTAACCGCTTGGCTACCTTATTTTAGGAGAAGTTTTACAAAATACATTTTACCCTTTGAATGTTATGAATGTTATTGAATGTTTGGTTAACTAGTTTTAAAATGCATATTTAGTAACAATTTTCTTAGTTCTATCCATATTCATTCGTTCTATGGTTTGTAGCATTATGGTTCAACTACAATTGCACATTTGGATAGGACTCTTATACTTAAAAAAATAGCAATCAAAATATTTTAGAAATTAGAGCCTAACGAAACTGCCAAAACAAATTCAAAAATCATTAAGTGTTATCAGAGCATGGAACATTTATTTACAATACAATGATTCTAGCAAAAAATCGCTTTGAGCAATTCTGATAGAAATTATCAATTATACAACACTCGGCATAAAAATACCGTTTAAAATAAACATAAATTTTAATTCTAAAAAAATATTCTACATGGGATCAAAATGTCTTAAGCACCTTTCTAGTAAAATTAGAATAAAAAAGAAAACACACAGTAAGGATTTCATAATATAATCTTAATTTGTGGAGAAAGCCTGTTATTTTTTGGAAGAGTATTTTTCCACCTCCCCTCTTAGCGTTATTTATGTTTGATTTAGTTTTGATCATTTTCATTTACTGGTTCTTTTAATATTAATAATGAAGTCATATGTATATATTAATTTAAAACAAACTACTTGACGCCATTCAGTATACCCAACTGTACTTTATGAATAAAATATATTTGATTTGATTAGAATTCGTACGTGTCCAATATTTTCCCTTTCGGAATTTTCAACCTGATTACTAACTACTAAAGGATATACCAAAGGAGACAGTACCAACACAGATGTAAACATAAATATTATTTTATTTACAAATCCTATTCCTCAAATATCGAGTCTAAAAATATACTTAAGTAGAAACATCTTAAAATATACTTTCATTTATAAATAACAATACTGGAGGAGAATTGTTTTACAAACGCATAATCTATTTAACAACGTACATTAAACTGCAATTAATAAGTTTAACTCAAAACAATAATTGTTTCTTGTATTTACATTAGTTTCTATACATTCGAGATCTTGGCGCGTTGACGATCCTAAATCTAAAATTAAAAATAATTGAATAAGTACATAAAATGTGCGATCGCAGAGGAAATTAATCAATTACCATCATTACAATTTATTACAGACTTTTGTAATCATTACGGTAAATGCCTGTTTAATTAATGAAATGTGCAGCATAAAACAAAATTGTAAGTGATATAGAAGCTGAAAATAATTAACGTTTAAGTTTATTATATGAATGCATTGATTAAAGAATCATAGTTATTTACTCTGACAATTTATTCATATATTGCAAGATTTTTTTAGAGCTTTGTGCAACCAGTAAATCTACATTTAGTTTTTTAAACGAGCAGCCCAAAACGCAATTTTCTGTTAAAATCTAAAACTAAAAAAAATGATAGACATTGGTAATATTTACAATGCCCCTAAATGTTTAACAAGTTTATTTTAAGAATTTATTACTCATATGAACATGGGAATTTATTAATTCAATTCTTAAAATTCTCTTTATTTTCAATTATTCATAAAATCCTCTCCTATAACCATTCCTGATTTCATCAAATAGGCAACAAAATGTTTAGATCACTAAATTAAATTCAAATTTGAAAATCATTAAATTAACTGTGTATAGCACTGAAAACAGCCTAGAAAAATGTTAAAGGTATAATCAAAGTGGTTCTTCTAAAAGATAAATACCAAGAAAATCTTGACAAAAACCATTGACACTTTTATAGGCATTGCATTTATACACTAAGTTTTTTTGTAGATTTGTAGGCATTGTATTATACACATCACCAATCCTCATCACAGCCAACCCAGGTCTAATTAAGTATACAACCTTATACAATTTACACCATTGAGTTATACAATAACTAACCTTATACAATAATATAACACTATAATTACAATTGAACACAATGTAGCACAATTAATTGTTCTTCGTATTAATAGTTAACAATTTTACACATTGGTAAGTCTAAGGAAGGAGTAAAAATTGTATTAATATTTAACAAGTTTAATAAGGTTGTAAATTATGACGTGTAAATAGTTTAAGTTTCTTTTTGTTTGAACGTCGAAAGAGAAGACTTTGATGTTAACCACGACTCGAGTTTATATTGATATAATAGTATTTTGTAAAGTTTGACTGAAATATTAGATAAATATTGTATTAAATTATTAAAATATTAAAAGTCGTTTTACATTGCTGTTCAGCATTTAATTTTTGACCAGTTTCTGTAGCTACTTAAAAGCTTAAGATGATTAGTTTAACCAACAATTGTTATAGTTAACCATTAAAGTTAATAATATTTTTAACCGAAAATGAATGTTACTATTTAATATACAATAAGTATTTTCATGTGTATAACTTTTAAGAAATTCTATTGAGCACAAAACATTCCTAAATTGGGAAAAAATAAAATACGTCAAACTAATCTGATGTAAATAGACTCATAAAATGTATAGAAATATTATAGAAGTTCACAAAAATTTATCAAAGAATTTATTTAAATTATTAATAAAGACTGCAAAAGCGTTCAAAATACACTAAGATATGTTTATTAAGTAAATCCAGTACTGCATTTTCACAAAAATAGTATTAAAAATAGACAATTTGTTCACAGTTATCACAAAAGTTATATATACAAATATATTCTCACACGATTGCACTGGAAGACGGGGTATTGTCACAATGTCCTTTACATAAATCACAATAACACTAAATAACAGTTACAAAATAATTACATCTTATGTACAGATTTGGTTATGACGCTGCATTTATACCTCGATCACAGAGGATTGGAAAATCCTTTAAAGAAGACATTTTATACCTATTAGGCCTATAAAGATGAAAGAGATCTAAGTTTAAAAGTGGTATTTTAACTATACAAGTCATAAAAATTTTATTAGTTGAATTAATAAATATAGTTACAAAATATGTTCTAGTTTGGTAAAAAAATACGTTGGTTTCGTAGTGATGTGTTTTTCAAATAGAGTAACAAATATTTAAATAGCCACCTCGCAGCAATATTTCTATTTGTACTAATACTAAACGTGTAATGGCAGGATTTCTTGCAATACATCACATAGAACCTCATGCAATTAGCACTGATGATTTCAACATCATCACTCATAACAATTTGAGTCTTCAGAAATCTTTAAAAATATGTTAATCATCACAAATAATTTTTCTTCAGGCCAGACTGTACCTTATGTCATATATACCGTAAAGTACAAACTAAAAAGCATCGCTGAAATACATTGACACCTTAAAAATTAAAATTGCACAGAGAACAACATTAATTAAGAATTATAGTAGTGGGAAAATGAATGTTCTGGACTAGTTGCCGGTGCTACTAGGCCGGCCAGGAGTGGGGGTAGGTGGTGGTACCGGTGTGTGTGTAGTGGGGGGTACAGGTGATGGGGAAGCGGTGGGCGCACCGTGGCAATGTACACAGTGCATGCACACCACACAGTGACCCAAACGTCGACTCAGCACAGCTCGTAGCTTCAGCGCAGGCCCAAGCTTCATCCCCAGCGCTGATGTCAGGTGTTCTTCCGTCAGCAAGGGGAGTGCTGACCCATCTATCCGCTGTTCCCGGAAATTCTGGAACAAAAAACACATTCGTCAGTTTTTAAGCTAAATTGTGGTGAAGCTGATAAAATCTACCAGCTCTATTTATAAGCTTTTCAGCAAAACACTGTATTTGTATTGTGAAAGATTCTGACGGATCTTTCACGGTCCAATAGTGATTTCATAATTCGTGGACACGTAAGTATAGACAAAATACTTTTCTTTGAAATGTGGAAGAGTTATCTGTCTTAGGTGTGGATTTGTAGATAGGTACAACCAGAACGGTATAAAATATCGGTTAGTAAGGTCTATTCATTTATGTATTGCAAAAACATAATAGTATGGCGTAAAGTGACTCTTTTCGACAATAGCTCAAGTTTAATTTGCGAATTACACTAGCTAAAGGAAAATTAGGGAGGGTTGAAGAGAACGTAAATCGACGATCATAACAATTAACAAACGGACAAATTATAACCAAAGAACTCTTCATTACACCAGCTCAGTCCACAAATAATGTCTATAACTCAAAAGATTCCGGAACACAAATATCACACCTTTACTATTAATATCAGCCAAATCGAATATAACGACTTATATAACATGAAGCAATTACCATCGCAAGATAACGTGATTAGAATCAGTTAATCGAGTGATATTTTGGTTTGACATATACACTGCAGATTGAAGAAATAACACAACAAATAAAATTGATCAATTCAAACCAACGTTCACAACAATTAACACAACTCTAAATAATACCAACTGAAAAAAACAGTTCACTGCTAATATCTCTAAATTAACAAATTGTACCACATAAATATAACAAGTGTTAAATTATATCAGTCCGAATCGAATCAAAACTAATTACTCACTCAATTCCAGTCGCAAGATAACGGTGGAATTAGTTAACAAAACGAGAGATAAAGCAACGGATTGATTGGTACAGTGTATATTTGGTTTTGATAAATATAAATTATATGGCACACATAACCAATGTAGCAAGGCACCGTAACAATTAACAAAACAACATATTGCATTACATCACCTAAAATAAACTGTTCACGAGTAATTTTTCGAATCAACAAATTGCAACACAGCATTTCAAATGATATCAGTCCAAATCTGATCAAAACTAATGACTCAAATGACGCAATTATCGCCCGATAACGTGTTTTGAATTAGTTAACAAAACGCGAAAGAAAGTAGCCAAGTCAGATAAACAACTCGAACAATAATATAATCACCGAATCTGATCGGGAGCAGGTTCTAAACTCGGTGGTGAATATTTAGTTACGCAAACCGAAGCGGGTAATAAACAGAAAGAACGATTATTGCTCGAGATAATTCCGGACCGATGTTTGTGGAACGGGGTGTAGCGGACGGACGATGTTTGCGCACGGCTAGTACACAGAGTGCTCTGGTTTTCCACCTGATCGCTGCCGGAATGCGACCACGTGACCCCGGGTCACCTGACCGGCCTTGCCCCACCCTCCCCCCTCCAACACCCCTCGCGGTGACTTCTCTCTCGCACTAGTCGCAGTTCGCAGTCGTAGTCCGTCTCTGAGGCCGTAGTCACTGCGCATCGGCAATACGTCTGCGCGGTGTGGCGTTGCTACAGCGCATCTATTTATTACACTGCATGTGCAATGATGAGAATAGATAATCAAAAACTATTTTAAGAAAACAAACGCATCAAAACCATACTGCGTTATTCTTCCAAATATAGTACAGCACTGTAGACATATTCTGAAAATTAACTTATTTTAAATCGTCTGATCAAAAACCCTTTACTGTATCAAATATGAACTGATATTCACACGATAAACACTTCTAAACCACTTTTTAACGAGCCAAATGAGCCTGACTAACGTAAATTAAAACGAACCATCTGTAATTATTTGATAACCACAAAACAATGCTTTTCGATTTTGATTAGGTTAAAAAAAGAAACTAACTCAAAATACTTTGAAATAGACTAGGTTTAACAGCCAGTGATAATGAACATAAATGCTTAAAAATCTGCCAGGGTGACAATTTTAAAACAAAAATCCCCTACGAAATAAAAATTGTTGTACGATAAAAATATGATAGAAGTAAATGTGTTGAAATATGTTTATATAACAGTATATTATATAGTATACTTAATAAGTATATATACTATAGTACACGAACAAAATGCAGTAAAAGAAATGAACAAAAAATGTAAGATGTGGTAAAGACAGGTGTTAGAATTCACTAAAAATTAAAGCAAATAAATAATCTACGAAATAAACATTGTAATACGAAATTATGAATGGCCATGTACAGGTCGTAACAATATGAATGAAGCAGAAGCCTACGAGAAGCGTGGAAGATGAAGTCGTAGTCTCGCGGCGGGGAGTCCGTTTTGGATAATACGGCGATCGTCGGTGAATTAGCATTGAAATGATCGCAGCCGCATTCAATTAAACAGTCGTTCCACTGCTCAAAACATCGCGAGGGAGCAGACGCTGATTCATTCGTGGGCTTCATTGGCTTCAGATTCCCAAGACTTAAATAAGTTGTAAAATCTGAATATTTTCTTTACGTGAGTTGCATGTCTAGCTACATGGTGAACTGGAGTTTGCTGTGGTTTTCATTAGTTTTGAGGAGTAAGCGGTTTCCTGGCTGCTCTGTCATCTCCCTTTCTATCCTACAGAAAAGGCAAAGGTAAGCTTAGTTATCTTCACTATTGCCTCCAAAAGTTCATGTCGTATAGTATTGAATTTAGATACTGAAATGACCCTTGCATCTATGTGTACTACCAGTTCTCTTATAGTAAAGATATTTGCATCTTTGCATGAACCTCTCATTGAGTGCTTCTATAGAAGTCCTGTCTTTTTTAGACTAGTCCATAACAGAAAAATACAAAAACTGTTTATCGTTCATTTTTCATGATTAACCTATTCTGTTTGATATGCACAAAGAAAGTAAAAAAACGGTGTTTTCGTCAGCACTTTTTCAACGGCTAAATTTGAACTTAGATCTTTTTCTAAATAAAATTGGCTTCAAATTCAACTTGGGAAGGAGATTTCCAAAGGTATAGAAGGTTCACACCATTTACAAGGGCCAAGATAGCAGAATTTGATGGGAATGGAACGTCTATTTCGATGTACATTATCTACAGGCAAAGATAGCAACCTGGTCTCATTTCCAAGGGCCAAGTCAGAAGAGGTTGATGCCGGTAGAATGTCCGGTGCCCCTCCCACCGCCAGAGGCGACGATTACATCTTAGGCAGCCGACCGATCGCCTGTAATTAACATTTAATTAATGCCGGGAGTCCTCTTTAGGTTGAGACCTTGGGCTCGGGGGCTTTGATCAAGATTGTAATATTATCAATATGAATTTTTAACAGTGGCGTCAAACTGTTGAACTGATCTATACGGAGAAAATCAGTTCCACGGTAGTATTTGATGGTTAAAAACTAGACTCGTGCTTGATCATTGAGCTTTAAATAATGGTTCTTCATACGAATAAGTTGTTCTTGATCAGTAGTACATTTCTCGTAAACACAACGCAGTATCAACACTTAAGGTCACAGAAATGTTTTCCATTTACATATCCATTTACTTGTCTATTGGTTGAAGTTACTTGTAAATTAGGCCTATATATGTTTGATCATATAATGTCATTTGCTCGTACTCGTGACTTCATGGTGTGATCTTTATTCAGAAGAAAAGCACAATTTTTACTGTAGAAAGATAGAAAGTACTGTAAAGGTACTGTATCAATTGTGTAGAAAAGTACAACATTTTCAACAGAAAATGAATCTTTTTAGCAATTTCATCGCACGTTTGACTTCTACAATATTGGCTAAATACGCATTGCGTCTTATCAAGCTAAGGGTTCTAGAAGTATTTTTACAGATTATATCTAAACGATTCTTGACGCAGGTTATATTACACGGAGAAAACATTCTACGTTCGAAATAAACCAACAAATCAGAAGGTTTAGCCTCAAAAAATAACTTGTCAAACTACTGAACACATAGTTTTTAGCATTGCCAGCTCAAGGGTTGGCCGTTTCAGCTAATAATTACCAAAGTGTAGTGTTCTTGACTACTTTCACAGCGATTTTTTTAAACAGACATATCTCGTGACCGAATGTATCTTATATGGAGAAAACATTCAGCATCCGAGGTCAGCCAAAAAGTTGGAAGCTAATTTAAGGTAGCATAAATTCAGAACGTGCTCCTCAATGATCAGATGGGTATATATAACCTGCATGGATGTATAGCACTAGCATCCACGGAAGGCAACCGTCCGACAGGGAGGCAGTTCTATAAATCTGGCGGGATGATGAAGCGTTCCACTCGCAGCCGAGGTAGAGGTTGCACCAGTTGTGGAGGTCAAAGTTCACACAGCATGAGGTCACCAGAACTGGACTGAGGTCAAAGAACCAGCCTCCGCTCGGTAGCCGATACTGGATACTGGTATAGGATACCTTCTACATTCAACTGTTCGGCTAGACGAATACTTGTAGAAGTCTGTTGAGAGGGTTCTGGGATTGACGATAGGACGCCTAAGAATCATAGTGCATAAAATGTATAGCATTTACGGTATGAAACGTATTAATTTCATTATTGACCCCAGATACTGAAGTGGACATCTCATCTTTATGGGCCAGTTGTGGATGGACCTAATAATCGAATGAGCCTTTCATTGAAGTAACGCATTACTTATCTTGCTCACGGACTGATTTTACCATTGAAATATTCACCATTGACTTTGAACAGTAAGATATTAAATATAGACCAGCTGTGAGTTTTCCTATCGAAGAGAACTTGGTATGTGCTACTACAGTCAAGATTATGTTTTCTCTTTCTTAGCTTTAAAAGTTGATGATGACAAAGATGCAATCATTTACAACAAGTTCCCTTTCAGTTTATCACAATTAGGAAGTTAATGGTTAGAAAATGAAACAGTCTCTCAAATGTTTGGCACACTCTGTCAACTGACCTAAGTTCCTTTAAATTCTATGCTCAGGTTCAAAAGAAAGCAACCTTTAAATGTTC